TTTGGTTTACGCGGTACTGTTCAGTCGTATACACTGGACTTCTCACTTTGATTCCTAGCATCTCAGCAAGCTAAGCTTAGTAGAGTGTCTACACCTCTGTACTTGACTGAAACAAACAGTTAAAGTGTGCCGTGATTTTGAGTCAACCTCCCCCTCCAAACCCTTTTCCTATATCATCGGCCTCTGTTGCTGGATGTGGTAAACGATGATGGCTTGGCCTGTCGAATGGAATACCTCACCAACTTATTTATCCCCTCCTTACACACTGTACGCCTAACCTCAATATTAGTCATCATATAGTACTACTATCTCATCCAATAGCTGCATGCCAAGTAATCCACAACGGGAAAATTACAGAATCCTTCGAAGTAAAGACGGGAGTAAGACAAGCTGGCTGCCTACTATCGCTAATAATTCTCCTGATTGCAGTAGATTGGATAATGCGACAGATAGACAGACAGCGGTCAATGAAAAAACAGGCATAAAATGGACTCACAAAAAATTTGGAGGATCTGGACTTCATCGATGATATATGTCTGATTTCCTATAAACTAGAAGATATGCAAGCGGAAAGCAACAAGTTGGCAGAAGAAGCATCAAATATAGAACTTTACTTCAGGTGAACATAGAGAAAACAGAGGTGATGAAGATCCCCGGGCAACACCAACAGCAACAACGACAGACAACAATCAGCATAAATGGAAGGAACCTGAAAGAAACAACCTCTTTTACCTACCTGAAAAGCATCGTTTCAACTATAGGCGGATGGAACTGACGAGGATATCAAAGCAGCGAGGATCGGGAAAGCAAGACAAGCTTTCACTACTCTCAAGTCTGTGTGGAGGTCAACAGCACTCAGCATGAAAAATAAGATCCAGATTTTCAACTCCAATGTGAAGTCAGTCAGTGCTACTTACTATACGGATCAGAGACTTGGCCAGCGCGTCATAAAGAGCATCTCAAACAAACTACAGACCTTCATTAAAAGTTGTCTTCGCTCAATACTACTCAAGATGAGATGACTGACCAGAAAATATCGGCAACAGAGATCTCTGGCAGTGAGCGAACCAACTCAGTAGGAACCGATTGTGAAACAAATCTGCATGAAGAAATGGAGATGGATTGGTGGCCATACTCTGAGGAAACAAACCATCAAGTGACATTACACTAGACAAGCCATCGCTCGAGTGGAACCCGAAAGGGAAGCGACGAGTTATTTGGTCGTTAGTGCAAGGTTGACTTGGAGGAGGTCATGTGAAGAGGAGATGAAAGCATGTTGGCAGATCTGGAGTCAGGTGAAGACTCTATCAGAGAACCGAACGCAATGGAGACGTGTGGCTGAAGCCCTATGTTCCTGTAGGAATTAAAGGAAACAATAGTAATAACAATAATACTATGTAAAACGAGAGGTGGAAAGCAAGGCGCCTATAATCGATATAATCGTATAACGAATGTCTTTTTGACTTCGCATTTTCTAGTTAAGGCATTTTATGTATTGTGACGTCTGGAGTAAAATTCTGTTTTCCTTTTATATTTTTTCCCCTCCACCCTTGTTTAAAATTTATATGTAAATGCTTTTTTCACATTCACTTTTTGTGTCATATGATTCTTCTATATAGATAGTGATATTATTCTTATCAATATAGTCAAGCATTTAAACACAGAACTTGTTTATTTATTGCCAAAGATGTGAGATAGACATTGATTGAATAACACGTTTATGCTTTTTGACTGTCTGTACTTCTTCTTTTTGGTTATCTGTCTGTCTGCCTGTCTATCTATCCATCCATCCATCCATCTGTGTGTCTGTCTATCCATTTATGCCTTAGTTGTTGTTGTTGTGTCATTGTGCATTTTATTCCTCTGCATATCTCTTAAAGTAAACGATGTGAATAACGGAACATTGTAATTGAATTAGGTTGATATTTGTGAAGCTTTTTTTAAATATTATATGACACCAACTATGGATACCTGGGAAAAATGTCACATCTAAATTACCGAATGGGATGTATACACAATTATTTATGTAATCAAATCAGAAAGAATTTATTTGCCTTAACCACGAAAATAGAGGATAAACGTTTCAAAAACAGCAATTCAGTTGGCGACAGTAACTCCTGTATTTTATTCCTTTGCATGTCGACTGGAACACATAGCTTCAAGCTTGAGGCTTGAAGTTTCCGTAGCGGTGAGATTTTCTACGGTGTGTGGTTGTGACCCCTCACGCCTTGACCTTTCCGATTTGTCTGGCTATAAGAGGTAAAAGTATGCGCCGGACAGGAATCGAACCCTGGAACACAAGCATGGTTGGCGAAAATTCTACCGCCGAGTCGACCATACACACATAAATATCATTGATATAAGAATAAAACTTGGGCACTGTGGTAGAATGTAATTCCATTATGGGTAAATTTTTATTTGTTATTTTATTTATTGCTCATAATCATATCATATGATTATCAGCAATAAATTGTGCTCGAAACGTCATCAGTAAATATTACTGTATAACACTGTGAGACTCTATCAAAATAAAAATTTACCCATAATGGAATACACACATAAAGCCTAGCACTACTGGGTAGTTGTTTCTAGCTTATTTCTCAGTACGCACCCACTGGGGTTCGAACCCAGGACCTTCCGGTTATTATTTTTTTTAATTTTTGATTATAGCTTTGTTTCCACACCGTATTTTTGGTACAATTGTGGAATTTTCAGCATATGATATTGGTAACTCAAATTTTGCAGTCCTACCATTGATATCAGATATGCGTCGACAGGGGATCGAATCAAGAATCATGTGCATGGTCGGTGAGAGTCCTAACCGCTGTGCCACCGACGCAAGTGAACTCGTAGACCATTAGGCCACTAAGACCCAATTGGTAGGAAGCCTTCGACATAGGTTTCGTGCTAGTTGGCAGTCACCAGTCAGCAAGGCGTATCTGTAACTTTTTGTTCTTTTGATCCCAACTGACTGACTGGTTTCAACATAGAACTTTGCACAGATGTACAGCAGTTCCAGTTGCCACACAGCCTCCGTGGATCACACAAAGCACGAGAAGAGAGTCAAGAGAGATTCAAAAGACTGAGATAATAAAGAGAAGTTTGAGTGAGAGAAAAAGAATAGTAATATGGAAGAACAATGGGGTTGTTTATATGTTATAAATTATAAAGAGTGAATGCGTCTCCACCAGCCATTGAGAATGATTTTTAGCCAACCATATCACCAATTTTCTCCAGCCTTCATTGGTTCTCACCATCTCGAGGAGCCCAACCAGTCAGGAAGTTTACATCTCCCTACATGGTTGGCTTAAACTAACTGTTATGTGTTACATGGACTGATGAAGTTATGTTTTGGTTTGATTACTACTAACTCTTTTCCAACCTGATCCATCCCATGTCAGTTAACACTGTCCTAACCGTTGAGTAAGGCGATGGTCTGACAACAGGTACAACATATGTCCCGACCATCTCTCTCAATCGATGTAACTTCACAACCTCGTCGATTGATTTCCAATCCTTAACTAACACTTGACCGATGCCTAGCCTCAATATTAGTCACCCTATTATACTACCTAACACGTGGTGTAGATAGGAAGCAAACACTTATGGCTAGAGACAACTAGCTGGCCTTTTTATCTCTTATACTTTCAGTGACCATGTCTCACTCACAGACATAAAGGAGGACGGAGAGAAATATTGAGCAGTCTTTTGGTCTTATGAAAAATTCATAAAATAGTATCAGTAACAAGGTATTGATAACAGTTAAACTTAGAATTATACCCAAGGTAGAAAGAGGGTAGTGACGGAGAAGTTTCTTTTATGTGCATAAACCAGGTTTTCTCATCCGAATTGCTAAGGTCTCAGCAATGCAAAGTTGTACGGAAGCATACTGCTTTTCGGTAGGCTTCTTATGGCTCTATAGATAACTTTGAATGAATAGCCATATGTTAAATTATGGCACTCTTTATTGATTCATTGTTACCTACTATCTGTAGCCAATCGGGGCAATGTTCCTTGATATTCATTATAATAAAGGTTTTTGTATTTCCCAATGAATGAAAAACAAAACGATATTGTTTTTACTGTTAAAAGTGAACTTGGTTTGGACATATATAATGTTCCTTGATTGTTTCCGATAAAGTACGAATTAAATGACCTTTATATCGATGAAATTTTCAAGTATTGGTTTGTAGGGATTTGATTGATTGGTTACAGGATTTCATCATGAGCTGACATCAGTTAGAGAACCATTGGAAAACCTGCCAGGGAGTACTAGACAGCTAGCTGTTTCATCAACCTGGTTTGCCAACTCTTCAGCAGTACGCACCCAGAGGGGTTTGAATTCAGGACCTTCTGGCTACAAGGCGAGCACGTAGACCATTAATCCACTGGAACCCGATCCAATGGCTAGCCCATGAATTATAACTTCTGCTAATTCATGATATACCGAGACCGCTAGCCAATGTCTTCAGCGAGTATTTGTCCTCACACCCGACCTGCTGCACTCTACTGGTCACGGCTTCCCACTAGAACCCCAGGTAATTACCTACCTGAATAGGGCCAGTCACTAGTGAGCATCCCATTGATTTTCAAGTATTGATTTGTAGGGATCTGATGGATTGGCTGCAGGATTTCATCATGAGCTGACATTGGTTGGACGAAACAGCTGTCCAGTACTCCCAGGTTTTCCAATGTTTCTCTAACTGGTGTCAGCTCATGATGAAATCTTCTAACATATCGATGAAATGTCGGGTGAGCTATTCCGATATTCCTTAACTGAATAGTGCGGAAGAGATCTTCTGGGTACCAGGCTAACGGTCACACTTATCATGTCATAGTTGATAATCCTATCGAGTTACTGAGACTGAAGTAGGGAATTTGAACTTTGAACCTTTTGACTAGTAGTCAAATATTCCACAAAATGTACAAATGTAATCATGAAAATAATTTTGCTAATACATATTCATTCTTTTCTTTTCTCTTTTTATTGCTCTACCTAGAGAATTAATGTCATTATTGAGACAATTGAAATTTGCGCAAAAATTTGCATGGTTATCAGGGTAAGTCTACTTTGTGTGCTTTTAATTGGTATTGTTGTTGTTTGTATACACGTTTTCCATTGTATTATTATTGTTATCACTTTCAAATGACTCCACAACTTCCAGCAAGCTTTCATTTCCCCTTCAGATCATCTGCTCTCCTTGTTAAATTCAGACGCCTCACTTGTTGCATACCATTCAGATTGTGTACTCCACAGCCTAGGGACTGAACCATTTATTACTGAACCTTTTCTGTCATCTGATGGTGAATGGTTGTTAGCTGTGGTACAATTAACTGAAGTGAAATAATCTATATTTATCAGTTGTGTCTTGTAGTTCAACTGGTGTAGAACATCGAAATAGTACTTCACAGTGGTGTGTGTTTCCCGTTCTGTTGTGACCCACATGTCCATTTCACTTTCAGTAATCACCTATTATCTATATCCATCGATCTAAGACTATTCCAGACGATCTCTCATCGTCAAGTCTACTTAGTGTTTTGAAGTCTGTGAGTCTCTGAAGTTTAACCCTAACTCACTTCAGAGACTCAGGGATTGACTTGCTACCAGGGAATAATCTCGTTGACTTAGAATATGCAGACGATAAAGTCCTTCAAGGCGAGGACGCTGACAAAATGCAGAGTCTTATGAACACCTTGAGGAGCAGCAATCTTCGTATGTTTGGCATGCGATTCGCCCCTGTAAAATGTAAGGTGATGTTGCAGGATTGGACTACACCGACTCCTAGATTAGAAATAGGAAGTGAAGTGGTAGAGCACGTTGACCGCTTCACTTATTTGGGAAGTACCATCAGCCCCAACGGGTTGATCTCTGACGAAATCTCAGCACGAATACAGAGGGCTAGTTTCGCATATGCCAGTTTACGCCGTCTCTGGCGCAGACGTGATATCCGACTATCGACCAAAGGGCGTATGTACTGCTCATCAGTCCGCTCCGTCCTCCTTTGTGGCTGTGAGAACTGGCCATTGAGAGTGGAAGACATGGAAAGATTAGCTGTCTTTGATCATAGGTGTCTGCGTTCTATCTCCCGTGTGAAGTGGCATAATAGGGTGAGCAATATTGAGGTTAGGCTTCGGTCGAGTGATAGGTAGGTGGTAGGGGAAATCAGTCGACAGACTGAAATTTTATCCACTGAGATGGCTAGGACATGTGTTACGTATGCCTACTCATCGCCTTCGTCGACGGGCAATGTTAGCTGATATAGAGTCAGGCTGGAGAAGAGCTAACGGTGGTCGAACCAAAACATGTCACCAGTCAATGAAATCTACAACAGTTAGTCTAAGCCGCGTAGGAAGATGTAGACTTACTAACTGACAGGTTGGGGTCCTCGGGACGGTAAAAACCAATGGTCGGAAACAATTGGTGATGTGGCTCAAAGTCATCGTTCTCAATGGCTAGCGTAGACGCATCCACTCCTTGTGACTTATGATTTCCCATGAAACTGTTTTGTTCTTCGTTATTACTATACCTTTGTCTCACACCTCTGTTTACTGTCTTTAATATGCATTTCTCCTACTTTCTTCTCTTGCTTTGTGTGCTACGTGGAGGGAGTGTGGCGACTTGAACTGGCGCACATATGTGCAAAGTTCTATGTCGAAAACAGACAGACAGTTTTGAAAATTATCTATAACTTTGTCGTGATAGGATAAATAAACTGAAATTCTTTGATCACTACTACTCAGCTGTAGGAGCTCGAATCAGTTTGTGTTAGATGAGATGAAATAATAATTTTTGCAATTTTACTTTTAACTTGATGCTAAATTTTTGTGAAACTCTGACAGAAGAGTATCGCTCATTCTCAATATTGCCTTACTCCGTACAGTGGAGAAAATGCGCAGCTTAGGTGAATGATTTTCGTGTATTTGTGTTGTCTGATGGGAATGTTTTAACTGCGAAGGTTTCATTTTCTTACTGGACAACATCTTCAGAGCTGACTTCGATTCGAAGTAACTATAACCTTTTATCAGTTTTTCTCTCCTGTTAACCTTGGGGGCAATTGATTATGGTTTTTAAATATTTTCTCACCCTGTCGTCCATTTGTATTGGTACTGATTGTTTTGTTGACCTTTTGTTCACGTTGTAACGACAGAAGACAAGGGCCAGGCAAGAGATCGTTTATTAAGAAAATCAAGGGGTATTTGTAGATTTCTATCTACATTATTGTCACCGGAGAAGCAACCTCTTCTTATTGGTTGTTTTCTTGATGAAGGTTATTCTGTACTGCTTGTGACCGTTTCTTAGAAAAATAAGCCATATATCTACGAATCATATTTGCACACGTTAACTCTGCTGTGATTAGTTGATGAGTTCCCCAAGGTTAAGCTTTGTTACTGTTTTTTCTCATGACTCCGATTCAGGACGTAACATTGACGAAAATTACTGTCTACAGTTTTGGCTTGCAGCTAGCTCTCACCACAAGGGGACAGTTACTCAAAACATTACATCGGCTAGTGGTCAAGACAATGAAAGTTTTGCAGCGAAAATATCCAACTCAGAGAAGAACACAACTACACCAAGATTACTTCATAGTGTTCTTTAAACACTAATGTAAAAAACTAACCATCGCTGTGCACTTTTTGAATTCATATTGGATAGATGGAAGAAGTCTACAGGAAACCTTGCACCTGAGTCGTATGTGTAGTGGACTTGTAGACTTAGGAATAGACACTGGTTACTTCTCTACCATTACAACAGTGTGATAGCGTCTTTGGACTAGCCTGCCTGGCTACCTGCTTTCGACATAGAACTTTGCACCGATGTGCAGCAGTTCAAGTCGCCACACTCCCTCCTTGTAGCACACAAAGCAACAGTAGAAACTAGAAGAAATGCAAAATAGAGACAGTCAACAGGGGTATGAGACAAAGGAAAAGTAATAACGAAGAATATAGTTTCATTGGGTAGTATTATAAGTCACAAGGAGTGGATGCATCTGCTCTAACCAGCCATTGAGAACGATGAGTTTGAGCCATATCACCGATTGTCTCCAGTCTTCATTGGTGTTAACCATCCGGAGGACACGAAGCAGTTAGTCAGTTTGTCCACAGCTTCCTACGTGACTGACTCGCTTCAACTAACTGTTGTGTATTTCACTGACTGATGAAGCCATGTTTTGGTTTGACCACCACTGGTTAACTCTTTTCCAACCTGATCCATCCCATGTCAGCTAACATTGCTTGTCATCGAGGAAGGCGATGGCTAGTCAGGCAAGCGTAACACATGTCCTAACCACCTCAACAGGTGTAACCTCACAGCCTCGTCGATTGATTTCCCCTCCCACCTACCTATCACTCGACCGATGCCTCACCTCAATATTGCTCACCTTATTGTATCATTTCACACGGGAGGTAGAATACAGGCACCTATGATCAAAGACAGCTAGCTTTTTCATGTCTTCCACTTTCAATGGCCGGGTCTCACAGCTACATAAATGGAGGACGGAGTGGGCTGCTGAGCAGTACACACGTCCTTTGGTCGATAGCCAGCCGGATATCACTTGTACTAAGTCAGAGATGGCGTAAACTGACATATGCGAATCTAGGCCTCTGTATCCGTGCTGAGATTTCGTCAGCGATCAACCCGTTGACACCTTGGCTGATTCAACTTCCTAAATAAGTGAAGCTCTAGACTAGACAAATAAATGATGTAGGTTAAAATCTTCCAAAGGTGGTATATCAGTTCCCTCAGGGGGTTACAGATACGCCGTACTCTGTAACGAGTGCCAATCCCAGCTAGGTTCAGGGCTTCCTGTAGACTGTTGACAACTATCTTAGGTGATCATTTATTGTATATAATCGCTTGCCTTTCTTTGTTATTTTTTTTTTCGTATTTCAGAGCGTCTGTATTACCAACAACATTGGCTGCACTGACTGGTGGTAGTCAACCGACTAAACTGAACGGCGATGGTAATCACGATACTGGTGGAACAGTTATGAGAAGGATGCAGCCTGATGCTGATGATGAGAAACAAAATACCGCAACTCCTGATCTGTCTAAAAATGGTGATGTTGACGTAGTGAAACCAGTTGAAGTCGTTAATCATTCTACTGATGATGTTGTCAATGGACAGTCAATTAAAGCGGTTGACTGTACACGAAATAAGCATGTTAATAATGAAATTACATTACACAATGGAAATAACAATAATAATAATTTGATTATAAATGGACAAAATGGATTACAAAGTTTACATGTTAATGGAAATAAAGATGTTGATGAAATTGTTGAACAACATATAAAGAATGGAAGGCCAGTCAGGCCAGGTCCAACGGAAGAAGAGGATGTAGGAGAAGAAGCTACTACTGTTAATGGACATGTGAGTTTTTTTCCCTCCTGTTATATACTTCTTGATTGTATCCTGTTTTTTAGTTTTGTCTTATTACCTTGTCAGCTAGATGTACTTGCCCACCCCCCACTCCTTTTACCACTGACTGTAAGGGGGATATTGTGTGTTCCCCAGTTCGACTCAAACCCACTACTTAATGTTTCAAACGTCAACACGTCATTCATATTAGACTACTGTTGTATCCCGAATTGGGTGATTCTACTGCTAATTATCAATCCTGGTAATAATATTGAGGCATCTGTTCATGAAGCCGCTTAATAAAAAAGAGAAATTTAGTACATTATAGGCACCAATAGGTGCGCTGCATGCTGGGTTTCTTCCTGGAAGCCCAGATTAAAGAAAGTGGAAACATCGAACGAGACTTTGACTTGGTGTCTGATCCACCGTATATGGTTCCTAGTGAACAAAAATGGATTCATATACCATTCGATTCTTTCGGATTCTAAAGCCCATGAAATGAGGATCTTTCAGCCCCCCTACAAGGTAGATCTGCATGTAAGCGTGAAACGTCCAAATTCGCCATTTCACTTTTGCACAAGGAACATCCCTGACTAGCGTGAAGCTTACGTGGCCCCGGAGGTTATGAAGAGTATTTCAAGAGGAAGTCTGAAGTCGACCCACTTTCATCCGTACGAAGTGGTTCATGGGGCATATTCGTATACATATTTCACTTAGGTCAAAATTTATTTTGGATTTAATTGTGTTCATTTTTGAAAACCAAAGACCACCAGTAAAAATTGCAGAAAGAAATTGATAAATATACATAGTGTGTGATTATTCCTTACAATTGCTACTACTATCATCAATTTTTATTGTTCTCAATAAACAGATTCTGTTGCCAAAATTATTATGTGAAGCATAAAGATACTGTAACAACAGAAGACAAGGGCCAGGCAACAGATCGTTTATTAAAGAAAATCAACACATATTTATAGATTTTAATGTACATTATTGTAGATTATTGTTAGTAGAAAATACAGTCTTTTGATTGGTTGTCTCTCACAGAAAGTTAACCTTGCATCTCTTTGTGGCTGGCTGTGTCAGATCATCCATGTGCTAACTGTATCCGCCTACGCAAAGTCTTTATTCTCATTTTCTCACCACCAATATTGGGGACATAAACATTGATGTCAATTACTGTCTACCAACTTTGACTAGCAGTCAGCTGTCACCACAATACTACATGACCTTCCAATCGTAGTTAGGGGGGACTGCTGGAGATTCGCTACTGCATACCCTCTAATTTTCGTTAACTGCTTTAGCATAACTATATGTTTTACAGTTCGTGCTCACTCATGAAACATGACACCTTTTGCATATTTACAGCTCTTTGTAAAGACCGACTATCTTTTATTTTGAATGCCAAACCATTTAAACTCATCAGTGAGTGAATCAAGGGTTTTTTGTTTGAAGGTGACGTCAAGTATCTTGACTGATGTTTTTCAGATGGGTTGCCTTGTTTGTCGCCTAATTTTATTGCATATCTTTGGTATTGTTGTTGTTGTTGTTAACATGGTAATTAAAACAGAACTAGAACAGCTTTCCTAGCGTGTTGTAAGGTTCACAGTCATATCTCAGTGTTTTTGAAACTCTCACACAACAGTTCGAAGTATATATTGTCCATTCCAGTGATGCGTCGGCATTGTGTGTGTGTAAAACATACGGCAGCAAACTGATCATTTGGATGGATATATGGAAGTAGTTGAATTTCACCTTCATTATTGATTATAAATTCATGAGCCATTGGATCATTTTCCAGTGGCTAAAATGGTCTAAGATGTCTCTCTTTCTCTGTCTGGATTCAACATAGAACTTGCCAACGAAGTGCAGCACTTCGAGTTGCCACGTTCCAAATAGCACACAAAGGTAGACATGAAGATGAGTGAAGAGAATCAATAGAGTTTTGACAAGTATAAGAGTGAAACAGAATGAGTAATGGTAGAAAGGAATATGAAAGATTACAGAGACTGAATACATCTGCGTAAGCCATTGACAACGATTTTCAGCCATGTCACCTATTGTCTCCAGCCTCATTGATTCTTAGAGTCCCGAGAGCGGGCCCCAACCCGGAAGTCTGCATCTCCCCCCTACCTGACTCAGTTTAACTGTCAAGGATTTCATGGATTGATGAGGCCATGTTTTTGTTTGGCCACCACCACTTACTCTTTTCCAACCCACAACACCTATATCAGCTAGTAATGCCCGTCCGTCGGGGGCAGGGAGGCGATGGTTAGGCATGCGCAGCACGTGACCTAGCCATCTCAATCTATGTAACTTTATAGCCTCTTCGATTGATTTTCCCTCTTTGCCCAACCAACACTCTACGCCTAACGTCAACATTACTTACCTTATACCTTATACCACCTAACGTGAGAAAGAGATCGTAAACATCTATGATCAAAAACAGACAACCTTTTCATGTCTTCAACTCGTATTGGTCATGTTTCAGAGCCATAGAGAAGGACGGAGCGAACTTCTGAGCAGTATACACGTCCCTTGGTTGATAGCCGGATGTCACGGCTACGCCAGAGATGGTGTAAGTTAGCGAAAGCAGCTCGAGCTTTTTGGATCCGTGCTGAGATTTCGTCACCAATCAATCCGTTGGTGCTGATACAACTTCCCAAATAGGTGAAGTGGTCAACATGTTCTATCACTTCACTCCCTATCACTAAGCTAGGGGTAGACGTAGTCCAGTCAGTCCTGTAGCAGCATCTTACATTTTACAGGGGAGAATCGCATGCCAAACATACGACGATTGCTGCTCAAGGTGTTCAGAAGACTCTGTATTTTGTCAGCATCTTCCCCTATTAGGACTATGTCATCTGCATATTCTAATTGCATAAGACTATTCCCTGGTAACCAGTCGATTCCTAAGTCGTTAAGTTCAGTTAAGGATACTTCCATTAGCATATCTATGATGAAGTTAAACAGAAAAAGGGGAAAGTGGACATCCCTGATGGACACCACTGGTTGTTATCAATTCAGTCTAAGATATCGCATTGTGACGTGACCAACTACCAGTTCGTCGATTCGAACCCCGGTAATTATGTGCCGTTGAAGAGTCTAAAACTAGGACGAAACAGGTGTCCAGTACTCGCTCAGTTTTCAGTGGCTCTGCGACTGAGATGTCAACTTGTGATAGAACTTAGGTTCAGATTACTTTATGGTCTCAAATGTAAGGACATAAAATCCATCACCTGTTGCTTTTATTGGGATTTTTTTTTGTATTGATATGTACGTTGGAATGAAACAATCAATCAATCAATTTCCAACAAACCCAACACTTGAATTATTGTGTTTCTTGAAGTGATTACCTCAAAAAAATTTTTTGTTATATTTTGTTTTCTCATCCTTTCAAAATAACGTTTTAATTTAATTTTTTTTTTGAATTTGGGAAAGAAAGAAAGATTGTGGAAAATTTCAACGGGGCATATTTCACATTTTTCATCTGTTTGTTTTTTTCTTCTTTCTTTCCTCTCGTGTTTATCAGTATGATCGAGTGTTTTCCCTTTTTTTCTTTTGATTTTTAACAAAGATTTATTAGGCGAAACAAAGAAACAACCACCACCACATCAACATACAACGGTTTAATTATTTTAGTGTTTTTTTTACAGAGATAGAGAGAGAGGTTTTTACTAACCATTCAATAGGCTTGAATTTGTCTTGAATTGAGATTCATTCACAAAATGTGGTCATAGCAATAACAAAAACAAACAAGCAAGCAAACAAACAAGAAATTTGTTCAATATTCAATTGTGTATACCTGACAAAATACTGACATTTTCACTGATGCTGTGATAGATTTTATGCCTTTTTTGTTTTCATTCAAGCTCAGGTTTATTTTCCTTTCCCCGGAGATTTTGATATCAGTTAGAGAACTGGTGGGAAACCACCTGGGAGTATATTTGTGCCATAGTGTGTGACTTTTCATCAGTACACAGTCGCGCTGGGTAAGGAGGGATTCACACTGTAAGGTTACACCTGTTGAGGTGATTAGGACATGTGTTACGCTTGCCTGACTAGCCATCGCCTTCCTCGATCAACAGGCAATGTTAGCTGACATGGAATGGATCAGGTTGGAAAAGAGTTAGCCAGTGGTGGTCAAATCAAAACATGACTTCATCAGTCAATGAAATACACAACAGTTAGTTTAAGCCAGCCAGACATGTAGGAAGGTGTAGACTTCCTGAATGACTGGTTCGGGTCCTCGGGACGGTGAACACCAATGATAGCTAGAGACAATCGGTGATATGGCTCAATGGCTGGTTAGAGCAGATGAATCCACTCCTTGTGACTTATAATACTACCCAATAAAACTATATTGTTCTTAGTTATTACTATTCCTTTTGTCTTATATCCCAGTCTACTGTCTCTAGTTTGGATTTCTTCTAGTTTCCACCGTTGCTTTGTGTGCTACATGGAGGGAGTGTGGGGACTTGAAGTGCTGCACATCATTGCAAAGTTCGATGTTGAAAACAGACAAGGGTTCGAACACACTGCTTTCCGATTACACGGCAACTTCGTAGACCATTTTGACATTCACTGGGACCCTATTCAATGACCGATGAATTTCAACTGCTTCTTCTCAGCTTACTTCGTCTTTGATATAGACGTGATATGAAAAGATTAACTGTCTTTGATTAAAGATGTCTGTGTCCTGTTTTGCTGTGTTTAGTGGTCTAATATGTTGAGGTTAGGCGCTGAATGTTAGGTAAGGATATAAAGTGAATTGACAATGGTTGTCATGGTGAATCGATATAGACGCCTAGGACACGTGTTGCACATCTCAAACCATCTCCTTCCTCGATTGAGATGGTCAACCCAAAAAACCTGGAATCAGTTCATGAAGTATGGGGATGCTGTTTGGGTTCTTGAGATTTTATGAACTCAATGCCCCCTGGAGACTTGGTGATACGGCTAAAAACTATTGTCAATGGAGAGCAGATGCGTTCACTCTTCATGATCTCTCA